GCCACTCCATCGTCGCTAGTCTTTGGATGCGCACAACGCTTACCTGGTGAACTCGTCTCACCAAAAGCGCCAACAACTTTCGACTATGGCGACTACGCAGCTCGCCTATCTCATCACATGCGACAGCTTCAGCCTGTGCAACCCAGAGCACAGAGCTTGCGTACAAACGTGGACGAACGGTTAACTACTTGCACGCACGTGTTCGTTCGCACTGACAGCGTACGCCGACCACTTCAGCCTCCTTACTCTGGTCCGTACCGTGTCGTACGTAGAAGCGACAAAACGTTTACCATTGACTACAATGGTAAGACTGAGACGGTCAACGTCGATCGACTCAAGCCAGCATACCTTGACAAGTCTGACTCGCCGGTGCAACAAGCACCTTCACAGCCCGTGCCATCACAGCTGGCACCGCAACCTCAGACGAGTCAGTCCGCTCCAGCAGAACCGACAACCACAACCGACAGCACTCCTACCCGCCCTACCCTCAATCGACGCGGTAGGAAGCTCAAACCTAAGGTTCGTTTTTCGGACTCCGTTCGCACTTACTTTTTTACGTAGAACGTGCCTTCGAAATTTTCTGCTCTTACTAAACGTTTTTGAAAATCCACAAAAAAAGACCAAAACGTTTTGAAACTACCAAAAAAGAGCAAAACCTTTTGAAAACCCAAAAACAGCTTTGCACGTTTTTCGCTTTACACTCTTTTGTGTATTGCTATGCACTTACGCTGCTTTTCATTTTGCTTTCCATATACACCGCCGGTTGGTTGCGCCTCAGTTTCACTTTCGCTGGATCCCCGCACGTCAACTGCAAGTGGAACGAACTTCCTGCTCAACTGCCTACGTGAACTTTATTAACTGTCCCCCCCCCACAAAGTTTTTTTACCGTTTCGACACCGTAGGGAAGACACGGGTGGGAGTCAGCTAGGGTCCGATTGCATGGTTCTCCCCCAGCAGCTGCATCGGGTTTCACAACCTGGTCTCGCAGAAGGCTGGCCCGCGACGGACAGTCCTCACGTAGATCGAAGGACTGCTTACACAGTCCCTTCTGGGAGAGGGCTATGTAGCAGTCTGGAGATTCCCCGGTTTGCCTGTGTAAAATTCTAACCAAAATTCTATAATTGTACACTTAGGCAACCGGTGTGGTTTGTCGAACTGCTTGCTGAGTTCGAATGCTTTACTTGCTCATCGCCATTTTTGCTTGGCGCTCGCTTCGGTTGCAACGCGCGACTGCTCTGTGTGCTGTGTTTGATCCGTTTCCCTAGCTAGAGCGTCCACGGTGTCGTTCGTTTATAGCTAGCTAACAGGGAATCTTTTGCTGAACCAATAAAAGTTTCCCTGCAACTCGATCTGTCTTCTGGAATCGCTCTCTGGGCTCCCGGAATAGGCAACCCTCTAAACCCTGACTGTCGAGTAAAGCTAAAAGCTATGCCTTGAAAAAGATATGGAAGACACCAAGTGATAAAATATCGCGGGAGTAGACATCAAAAAACTATTAGCGAACAAGCTCGTTTTCAGTGGTTCCACATCAGGCTAATACACCACAAATGAATGACGTGAACGGAAACATCTGATAGGAGTACGGGTTCAAAACTTACATGATCTGTGTAAAGTCCAAAAGGAACTTTGATGTATCCCCAACCTGGATTGCTCACATGAGGGCACGATATCTCTATTCCCTATTTATCTTGCTCATTTACACTGCTTTACTGTGTCCTACAAGCGGTTAACATATCGCATATTTATTCCATTCACTCGATCACTGACACATACTTGACGTTTAAACGTCATTCATATTATTCTGTTACTGTGACACTGCCCAAATACTCGCTCCGCCCCAGGCTGTACAGTTTCTGCCCACTTGCATTACGATTGCAGAACCTATTCGTAAGTCATGTACTGTATTTAATATGTCTTATAGAACCACGGTTACAGGATAATTCGTTTTATTCTTCTGCCCAGACCGTGCGTTAAGTCTAGGTTTATTTGCTCGTAGATTCTAGTTTAGTTTTCGTACGATGTACTTGGTTTAGGCTTAGTATCGTTGCCACAGTCTGAGTGACCAAACTAGGTGATTGTCCCCACTGTGATCAACAGTGGTTGTGTGTGTGTCGTGTGTGTGTCTGTGTGTGTGTGCGCAGCGTTGTCCGCACTATGTGTCCGTGCTACAGGGGACCAGGGGTAAAGTGCATGGACAAATTTCTTGTTCGCACATATGTCAAGGTCACGAAGCCTGATGGTTATTGCCTCGCCCGCTGCCAGTAGACGACATCTAACCGCTTTTGTGTAGCATCTGGGTACGCGGTAGACAGGCTGGAACGCGTCACGCGCTCTGACCTGGTGGATCGAGTCGATCAGGTGTGTAGACACTGCACTTGCCACTGATCTAGTCAGACCGATATACAGCCAAGCCGGAGAGTGTTCCCTGGCTCTCTCGGACGGTCTCCTGGTAGTTCTTCCGATATATCTTGATCGACGCGAGCAAGAGAAAGGGTATACACAGAATGAAGTACTTGACCTTGGAATTCTGCCCTTGTTGTTTAATCAGGGTCGGCAATGAGTAGAAGCTTAGCCGTAGGCTTGCTGCACAGTACGTTTAAACGTTGGCTTCAGAAAGTCTTCTAGACGTTGACTCAGCTATCCCGTCCCCCTTGAACGGTAACGACAAGTAGATCGGTTTCTTTCTTACTGAATGCACTTTTCCTTTCGCTTCTCGTACATCCATGTTTCTCCGACCGAATCTTTCCGGATAACCATTTCTATCGAATAGGCTTCGTACAAAGTTTAGCTCGTCCGAAAGCATGTCCTCGCTACACACTCTTCTTGATTCCTCGGTTAGGTACCGAACAAGATTCCGTTTCTGGCTGAGCGCAACGAAGCTGACAAAGTGAGCATATTACTCATTCCACGTTAGCTTTCTATTGACACTGCGCTGGACAGACCCGTCAGACCTTCGGCTAACCTGAACGTCTAATTACGACATTGAGTTGTTGCACTCAGATTCAAGGGTTAATTTTATGTTTGCGTGGGCTGAGTTAAATTACCTCACTAATTCTTCCGTGCAAAAATGACTACCTGAGATGCAGGATATATCGTCCACATACCGTCCGTAGTAGACTAAGTTGTCGATAACTCCGTTTAGATAGTTGTTCTCTAACTTACTCATAACGACGTCTGCTAACGATGGTCCTAACGGAGTGCGCATTGCGACCGCGTCCCTCTTTCTGTAGATCTTCCCGTCGAACAGGAATTGTAACTTCCTGGTACACATCAGAAGCAACTGTTTGTCGCTCGTTGTAGAGGCCGACATCCACATGGTGCAATCGAACAACATCTCATAGGCAATCTATCGTCTCTTCCGGCGGAACATTGGTGAAGAGCGACACTACATCTAGAGAAAACATTTTCCTTCTGGTTAACTGCATATGGCTTTTGGAGTTTACGAAGCTACACGTATCTGAGACTGTGTTTGGATAGGACTTTTATGATCGGTTTTAGAAGCTTAGCAAGCCATTTCCCAGTTGAGGGATTTGGAGAACCACACATGTCTAATATTGGCCTCAATGGAACTCCTTCTTTATGCACTTTCGGTAAGCCATAAAGACGTGGAATCACTGTCCCGGAGGGACGCGTGTACTCGAAAATCACTGAGTCAATCGCATTCTCTTGTTTCAGGCAGCATAGTAGCTTTGTGACTGTCATTTCTCTCGAAGCAGTTTCGTCTTTCTCTCTCAATCATCCGGAATTTCGAATGACCGTTGAGGATGGCATTCACCTTAGCGATATAGTCAGATTTATTCATAAGGACAATCCTTGCTCTTTTACCCGGCCTAGAGAGCAGCACATTTTCGTTCCGTTTAAGCGCTTTGAGGGCGTCTAAGTGCGCGTTCGTCATTTTTTCGGCTTCCAGTCAGAAACGGAACGTTGTTCGGTGCCTAACCAAGCGAGTAAGAGGAATATGTAGCGAGGACATGTTACCGGATGTTAAACTTTGCACGGAGCCAATTCGATAGAAATCGCTGTACAAATAAGTTCGTTCGGAGGAACGAAGAGGTAAGAGAAGCAAAAGCAAGAGTGGTTTCATATGAAAGAAACCGATCTAGCTAAAGTTACCATTCAAAGGGGATGAAATAGCTGAATCAACGTCTAGAAGCCTTCTTGATGCCATGGCAGCAAGCGTACATCTAAGCCTCAACTCAGTGCCGACCCTGAATCAACAACTTAAGGACAGAGTTCCAAGGTCAAATACTGCGCTTGCACGTTTCCATCAAGTTATACCGGAAGAACTAGTATGAGACTGTCCGAGAGCGCCAGTGAACACTGTCCAACATGGCTGCATAGCGGCGTGACTAGATCAGTGGCAAGCGCAGTGTCTGCACACCTGGTCGATTCGAACCAGCAGGTCAGGGCGCATAAGATGTTGCAGTCCATCTACCGCATACTCAGACGCCACACAAGAGCGGTTAAATATCGTCTACTGGCTGCAGCCGAGGCAATCGCCATTAGGATTCAAGAACCAGACCCATGTGCTCACAAGACATTTGTCCAGACACTCACTCTACCCTGCTTCCTTGTAACACTGACACATAGTGTGGACAACCCCACATACACACACAAGCACACTGTGGATCGCCGTGGGGCCAATCACACATCCTCGTCACTTAGACCATCTGGATTTGAACCTGTACCCCTATCAGATGTTTACGTACACGTCATTCATTTGTGGTGTATTAGCCTGATGAGGAACCACTGAAAACGAGCTTGTTCGCTAACATTTGTTCTTATTTACATAGTTCAACAAGTGAAGTGAGTAGGAAATCGCTATTTGCACCGGTATCACGATAAGAGCGACACGACGAGAGCACAAAGAATAACAACACATATGAGGTGAGGGAAAGTTGATCAACATGATCAAAACTAGTCACCTGATGAGAATTTTGCAATTTTAGATACGGCCCGAAGCTAACCTCCTTTCAGGTGCAAGGGATTCGATTCCGCAAATGATCCTAGATGCTTCCGAAAGGCGGCAAGAGTGCTATCAATCATCTACGCAAGCTGATTTCAATCCGTACTCTTTTCCTGTTGTTCTAATTGTCGTTTCGGTTATTGATGTGATTGTTTTAGAGCCCGATTGCAGAATCCTAGAGGATGAAGTCACTATTGGTTCAGAGTTATCGGAGCTTGCACAAGAAAGTGATATGTATCAAGAATCGGTATCACCCGAAAATCATGTTCAGACACCAGTGAAGTGGACGCAAATGATCACAAGCTGTGAGCTTCTTCCAATCACGGCCCTTCCTTTCCAGATTACGCACAAGGACAAAGACGTTCTGCGTTCTGCTGTTGAAATAGTGTCTTGAAATCGGTGTACGCAATTTCCATGATTCGAAATACCTCGTCGACAGTTTGTTGTAACTTGGTGCTTGGTCACACCGTGTGCATTATGGTTGGGTACCAACTCTCCTAGTGGGATGAACGAACGTGGGACAGACTGGCGCACCGCAGGGAAAGTAGCTAACAAGATTCGATTTCGTACAACCCGGGTGACTTTGGCACAGTTGAAACGTTCTTTTAGACCGAGCACAGATTTCACACACGACTCCGACACATAGAGATGTGAACGAAAGCAGACCCTTCGACCCAGGCACCCTACTCGCCAGACCGAGCAATTACAGCGTACCAAGCCTTGCTTAAATACAACGATTGGTGAAAAGAGAGCAAGAATGTTGAGCAAGGCCTAATTAAACAAACTGACCCTCGAACCGGAAATTGCACACCGATAAGTGGTGGGGAGCGAATCGGAAATATGTGAAGAAGTCAATAACAGAACATGATCTGAGTGAATGTTGATGGAGCGTGGCATGTGGCATTGACAGATCTGATTGAATGTCAATACTTGATGGAGCTTGGCGGGAAAGGATTTTGCGCGTGTAGCTGGCTGATCTACACCTGGCTTTGCCTGCGTTCTTGTAGGGACGTGCGGTCCACATAACACAAATGAATAGATATGGAGTTAGAAACAGGAGACCGAATACAGTACGGCACCAATGAATAGGGTTCCTAACCACTGATGTGGTCAACACCAAGGTTAACTTCATTGTGACTAGTTGACACGTTATTGGAACAGCAATCGAAATAATTAGAACTGATGTTGGGAAATAACACGTAGTAGACAGTGCTTTTGATTCAAGCGCAACACAGATTCCGGCGCGGAATCCGAGTGGGTCTGCAATAAAATCCAACCTGAGGACTACAGACTTAATTGTGCAGTGGTTCGCTGGACAAGATGAAAACAAAGTCGGGGTGCAGAAGACCAAATACAGTTGAATTTATAATGTATACGAGGTGAGAAAATGGGATTCCTGTCGCAACAGTTGCAACAATTAACCAACCATATACACGCATATAGGCCATACGCCGTACGCGGCTGGTGTAAAACACGAACATTGGGTATTGCGTCCGAAAAAATTAGAGCAAAACTGTCGTTCAACTGTTTGATGTCACTGAAGTTAACAGATAGGGTACAAATGTTCCGACGCTTGCCTATAATTTACTGTGATCGCGTACGTTTAGCTACTGCGACTGAAAAGCACGTTTGCACTTGCTAAGCTTTCAGGGTTACAAGTGAGTTGACCCAACTAGATCCCAACAAGATTCTGTAGTGACAGTCTGGAAGACTACTCCCACTGTAGCCGTTAACAATGACAATGTTTCAGGAAGAAAAATGCCATTTGTAAAACCTCAGAGCCCGTTGAGTTCATTCAGTGGAGTTCTGACAACCCGACAATGAACACGCCAGGTTCAGTAAGAAATGTGCTGGCTGGAGTAGACAGTTAAGAGAGACACGCTAAGGATATGTCCAATCCGGAATGTGCGCAGCTCGGAAGTGTGTATGCTTACTCGAATCAGCTGTTCCGGATTAGGAGCGAGCTGACAGAACTGCTGTTCCCAGGACGCTGCACTACTCTGTCAGCTTCTACACTGCACCGTTCGCCGCTGTCACATGACCTCGCTACATGAAATGCGCGGACATCCGCAACGGCGCGGCGTATGGTCCCGAAGGTTCCGCACTTCGGTGTTGTTGGAAAGGGTGTGGTAACAGTGCAGCGCATGTCGGGCACAATGACGACCCGTTTCACTCGTTGTGTGCCGAACGCAACCTTCCGGATAATAGCAATGCTTTTAACGTAAACGTACCTATTGATCTGTCTATTGCTTAGTGAATTTAACAAACTGCCGGACCAAACTGATCACTATGTCATCGGCTAGGAGCGGCGTATTGCACCTCAGTACTGGCTGTCGATTCGGAGTACGTACCTGAATTTCGATCTCAAGTACGCGTGCACTTTCACCTGACGTTCGCCTTCAAGTCCTCAACCATGTGCCCATCTCCAAGGTCATTTGCCTTCGTCCAACAGAGCTATCAAGCCCAGATGGATTGGAAGGGATGTAAACCAATAGGGAGCACCTACATTGCGACATGTGGAGGACATTGGGAACTGCTAGTTCACCAGGCATAAAGTGTCCACATTTAAAACAGATTTTTGAAACATCGAACAGATTCATTTACGTGTAGCATTTGATCACGAAGGATAGTTAACTTTACGGTGCTCAAGTACTACCGCAACGCGTGACCAGAGACCTACGGTGGAGAGAAGAATGAGTATCCAACACAATCCGTGCGTCTTGCGGTCTAAGAGAAGCAGCCGTGAACGAAACAGCGGTGGAGATAACTGGACTATTGACTAATTCTGATATTGAAGAGTAGGAAGGCTTTTTCATGGGGATGTCGTGTAAACACAGCTTGTTGAAACGCATGAACGCATCTAGGATGCGGTTTTTTCGCTTTCAGGTTTCGACAAACCAGACGTAATCATTCGCCGTATAATCGGCACAAGTGTACCAGTGATCTTATATTCTGGTAGAAGGATTATGATAACATGTTGGTTGTTAATTTAGCTTATCTAATTGATAACTTGTGTCACCTACAAGAGAGTCACCGTTGTTCCGACTAGTGGATAGTCAAGTGAAAATTGTCAACGTGTTTCTCTAGCTGCTTCGGTGATGCGCTGGTTTTTAATCAGCGAACGCTCGGTCTATATCAGCTTAGGGAGATGCTGAACCAAGCACACTAACACGATTCTTGTGGCTTCCGAAAAACGCGATACGAGCACAGAAATGATCTTGGTTCTACTTGATCTAAAGACCCTATGAAATGGACCGACCGCAGCTACCTAGAACAAGGTTTGACTCTGAAACGTCAATTTCTCAACTAGTACTCGGCCGCTTTCGCACATAAAGCGCCTAAATTATTTGGTCACGTAATTCGTAGGATCTTTAACTGCGTATCCAAGCATGCACCGATGTGGCACTGCCCATCGGATTGAATCCTCATGATGGACAACCGCTATGCGTGAATAAAAAAGAACTGCGAAAACCGGCCAGGTTGACAAATATTGTCTGCATTGCTGGAAGGCTGCTGGATATGACAGGTTTAGTAAATTCAGTGCAAACGCTAAATCGTTGGCACCAATGTAGGTGGTTTTCTGATTTTTGCTGTGGATTACGCATTCGACAACTTTTTTCTTTTACAGTTATCGCTTTCACATGGAGTCCGTGCCTCACTACCGATATCGCGTGAATTTAGGCAAATGCGTCCATCGAGCCTCGGTGCACTGATTATGATTATTTATCTGAACTAAAATCGCATATCCGCTTGTTGTGATAAAGTCAGAGGAATGCTTTCTGGAGAACCCTGTGTGATGTGAACTCAATGGAACTGCAAATGTCGTTCGTGCTAGAGTTCGCTGGCGACTCACCAATTGCCTTCACCTAGGACTTTTTGAATAGTTTATGGTGCGTCGCGTTAGACGACCGCCATCCAGTTCTTCATTAGCGATAACCGAAGACATGCTAGAACCACCGGACCTTTGGTCGCATTTCTGTTATCGTTAAGCTGCTGACGACGACTCTGTTCGCAGTGGATTACTACTCCTCTACAAAGTGGAACAATTATGAGCCACAAGGACTTCTGATAACGCGTGAGATGCATCGGCCGCGTATTCTCACTGCGGGTGTTTGACTAGCACTTGTATGCGAACCGATTATCGTAGTCGTCTCCCCTGATGGATAGACACCGTCCGTGGTTCTTCCAACCATGATGTGAACCGAACACTATTTGCAGTTCCACTGACTTCACATTATATATATATATATATATATATATATATAATGTAAGTCAGTGGAACTGCAAATATTGTTCGTTGTGTGTTTCCGACTGATTGAAGGCATGATTGCGTCATTTTGGACACTTGTTGTTTTCCACTGGTCTTGGGGAGCAAAGATAGCAATGGCCTGATGGACCCGATGGTAGAAATGGTCCACAGCGGTTCACAGGTTGTCGAAGAGGAAGAAGGCGTCCCAATCGGATGATCGGATACTTTGTTAGAATTGCTTCCATTTTATCCTATGCAATACATATTACGTAATAAAAGTGTGTTTGATAACCAATTCCACTCAGAAAGTGAATCGTACCATCTTGTGGTCACTATCAGAGAGTTTGTCTAATACCTCTATTCGTGCATGTGTGACCGCCAAAGTGAATATGAGGTCGAGTATGCTGGTCGCTCTTGTTGGCTCAGTAACCCACTGTATCCACCCACGAATTCTGAGAGAGGAAAGGAAAGCTGCATGTGCAGACGAGGACGATTTAGAAGACCAGTTAATATTTGGTAGGTTAAAATCACCAGCAATTATCTTATGTCTGTGTGGCATCAGCAGCAGACTCAAAAACTGAAGTGTGGATGATGACACTCGCAGTTGACGCGGACGGCGGGTTGTAAACACATCCGAATAACATGTGAGAATCGGTTTCTGAGACGGAGAACCAAAGAGATTCGGAACATTTGTTAGCTGGGAAGGATCAAGAAGTTATGCTACGAATGTACGGTGTAGTTGTATCATGCATCCACCTACATTGTCCTTTCGGAAAAGCCGATAATTAGGAATCATTAAGAAGGAGTCTAACGTATCGGCGGAACACCAGGTTTCAGTAACGAGAATTTCGTGTGGATCGTTGATTTGAGCTATGGGTTAGCTTTAAACGACGTTTTGCCAACCTACATGTTTCAGTCGGCAGGCAACACTGTCAAAGCTCTGTCAGTAGTGATTAGCACTTCCTCGGCTCAAGTTACAGTTGTAATTATGTATAGAAGCCTCGGGTGTGCTTCCAAATAGGTGCGTGAATTTATTCGTTTCCAATCCGCAAACAAATGTTTGCTAATGTGTGACTTCAATCTACCGGACGTTTGTTGCTCAGATTTTTCTTGCAACTGGAAGGTAGGTACTTTCGATGTAAATC